GAATGTGAGTGTTTTGGCACCTTGCACATCCACAGAGCATTCTAAACAACTTAGGGCCAATGCATTATTTTTAAATCTGGGCAGAAAATGGCGCCCAGAAACATAAATGGCCCAGAAACATAAATGGCCAGTTCATCTGTGTTGGTTGAATGATAAATGCTGAGCTGCACTGTGTCTAATCTTCTTCAAATCAAAGACCGAGAGCTTTTGGTGTTAATTAATTCATTTGAAATCGGTCTTGCTGTCTTTATTTATTGCCCATCCCTAACTGCCCTGAGCTAGCCCATTTCAGAGGGCAGTTAAGAGTCAACAACATAGCCATGGGTCTGGAGGCACACTGGGTAAAAAAAAGGCAGGATTTTATTCCCTAAAGGATATTAGTGAGAGATGGATGCTTAAAATAATGGTTGTCATTAAACCTTTGGGGTGACACAGCAGCTCAGTGCTTAGCACTGCTGCCTCACAGCACCAGAGACCCAGGTTCGATTCCACCCTCGAGTGACTGTCTGCATGGGTTTCCTCCCACAGTTTAAAGTTGTGCAGGTTAGGCGAATAGGCCATGGAAATGCAAAGTTGTGGGTCTGGGTGGGATGCTCTTCGGAGGGTCAGCATGGACTTGAAGGGTCGAATGGCCTGCTCCCGCGCTGCAGGGATTCTAAGAAACTAGCTTTAACTCCATTTTTTTAAATCAAACTGAACTTGCACCATCTACAAGATCAGCGTTTAACTCAAATATCCTGAACATGTGTTGGGTGCTTTGACATTGCCACCACCAATGTGACTACAGATGTGTGTCTAAAGATACACATGCAAATTTGCAAGGTTCTTGGTGAAGATGAAGGAACTGGTACTAATTAAATAATTCTCTCAAAGAAAGCCTACAGTAGATTTCTAGACCCAAATCTAGACCCCCAAGTTTGTCTAGAAAAATACAGGGGGAGATTAAACAGAAAAAGAAAGCTTATGATAGTCACAAAAAACTTAAGAGGAGTATAGATCAAGTAAATTCAAAGGGAGGGCATGAACCAAATATTAGGAAGCAAGATAAAGGAAAACCCAAAGTTGTTTTACCAATATGTAAAGAACAAAAGGATAGTAAAGGAAAATGTGGGACCTATCAGAGATGAAGAAGGGAACTTGTGCAAAGATGCAGATGTTATGGGGAGAATTTTAAGTGAATTTTTCAACTCCATATGCACAACGGAAAGGGACGATGTGGATATAGTAATCCAAGAGGAGCAGTGTGAAATATTGAACAAAATAATTATAATGAGAGAGAAAGTGTTGAGGGGTTGGAATCCTTGAAAGTTGATAAGTCACCAGGGCTGGATGGATTGTTCCCGGAGTGTTGAAGGAGGTCAGGGATAAAATAACAGATGCTCTGAGGATTATTTTCCAGTCTTCACTAGATACAGGTGAGGTGCCAGAGGACTGGAGGAATGCAAATGTAGTTCTGTGGTTTAAAAAGGGTACAATGGAAATGCCAAACAAATATAGGCCTGTTAGGAGTTCTTCAGTAGTGGGCAGATTGTTAGAATCAATCCTGAGAGATAGGATAAACTGTCACTTAGAAAGGCATGGACTAGTAAGGGATAGTCGCAATGGCTTTGTTAAAGGAAGGTCATGCTTTACAAATTTGATTGAATTCTTTGAGGAAATGATGAGGAGGTTTGATGAGGGTCAAGCAGTGGTGGTTATCTACATAGATTTTAGTAATGGATTTGACAAAATCCCACATGGCAGACTAGTCACAAAAGTAAAAGCCCTGGGATACAGGATAAGGTGTCAAACTGGATCGAGAGTTGTCTTAGTAACAGGAAAAAAAGGATAATGGTCAATGGCTGCCTTGCATTTGGAAAGCTGTTACAAGTGGTGTTCCAGAGGGCTTGGTGGGACCCCTGCTGCTTGTTTTATACGTTAACAATTTGGACTTGGATTTGAGTGGGGTGAGGGGGCGGGGAGGTGGCACACAATTGGGAAATTTGAAGACGACTCAAAAATTGGCCGTGTGGTGGATTGTGTAGAAGTTAGCTGTAGGCTCCAAAGTGATATAGACGGGCTGGTGGAGTGGGCAGGAAAGTGGCTGACGCAGTTCAACTCTGATAAGTGTGAGGTAATGCATTTCAGGAGGTCACGCAGTAAAAGGGAATACACAATAAACGGGAACATACTGAGAGGGGTAGGCGATGTGAGAGATCTTGGCATGCAAGTGCACAGGTCCCTAAAGGTAGCAGCACAAGTAGATAAGGTTGTAAAGAAGGCATATGGAATGTTCTCCTTCATTGGCAGAGGTATAGAATACAAAAATAGGGATATAATGAAACTGTATAAGACACTGGTGAGGCCTCAACTGGAGTATTGTGTGCATTTTTGGTCACCACATTACAGGAAGGACATAATTGCTCTGGAGAGAGTGCAGAGAAGATTTACTAGAATGTTGCTAGGGCTGGAGAACTGTAGTTACGAGGGGAGATTGGAGAGATTGAAATTGTTTTCCTTGGAATAGAGAAGTCCGAGGGGGTGATATTATCGAGGTATAACAAAACTGTGAGGAGTAGAGATAGAGTAGACAGGAGAAACCTGTTTCCCTTGGCTGAGAGTTCAAAAACCAGGAGTCATAGATTGAAGCCAAGGATTGGAGGGGATGTGAGGAAAAGCTTTTTTTACGTAGCGGGTGATGGGTGTTCAGAATTTGCTGCCTGAGTTGGTGATGGAAGCAGAGACCTTCAATTCTTTTAAAAAGTACCTGGATCTGCACCTTAAGTGATGTAAGCTGCAGGGCTATGGGTCGTGTTCGAGGACAGAAAGGACCTCTGGGTGTCTTTGAGTTGGTGTGGACAAGTTGGACCAAATGGCCCCCTTCTGTACTATCTTCTCTCATTTCTATGGTTTATCAAGAGAAAAAAACAGAGCTAATGTTCCATATCAATCAATGACCTTTACCTATACTTAAAATAATTGTTTGCTCCACTCGTTATGCTTTGATTTTTTGGTAATAAAAATTCCAAATTTGCTTCAAAGTATCAGGGAATGGAATAATGCTACAGCGCATGGGATAGACACCACCAAGTGGTTGGACTTGGTTTCATAGCTATAATCCTTAACGCTAAATTGTCAATCATAGTTGTATTTTTCTAAAGTAGCAAGGGATCTTCACGTGCACAATGCAGCATTGACGTTTTTCATGGACAAAAGTCCCCACAAAAATGCATTACATTCCTCCTTTTCCTCAACCAAAATCTCAGAATTCCCCCGACTGTCTCCAAACAGCTTGAGTTTTGAGATGGTACTGACAGCAATGCTACCAGCTTTCACTGTCATTACATCCTTGAGACTGATAACAGCATCTGATGGAGGTAAATGCGTGGATCTACACAGAAATCCCAACGCTGCTGAACAATGGCGTCAGGACATTCCAAAAGATGCACTTTTGAGACTGAAATCTACAAACTGATGCTAACTTCTATTCTTACACCATTGCAGAAAACTATGAAAACAATACACAAATTGCTGGAGAAACTCAGCAGATCTGGTAACATTTACGGAGAGAGTTAATGTTTTAGGTCCAGTGACCCTTCTTTAGAAAAACATGCACCTTACTTGGTGAGGTTTAAATTAGTTTGAAGTGACATACCAACTTCATAATTACTACTAAAGTTTTCCATTGTCCCTGAGGCGCTGTGGAATGTCAAATTTCTCCCTAATGATAAAATATAAGTTTTAAATAATTGTGTTTTTTCTCAAATAATCAATCTGTAATTGATTTTGCTGTTTGAATTCTCAAATTAAAAATAAAATGATTCAGAGCTTCTGACTTCCTGCTTTGGTGTCTGTGAGAATGCTTCAATGTGATTGGATGTTATGCCTAATGCCATCACACTTATAGAATCACAGAATTGTTACAGTGCAGGAGGAGGCCATTCAGGCCATCGTGCCTGCGCCAGCTCTTCAAATGAACATCGTTACCTGGTGCCAATCTCCTGCTTTCTCCCTACACCCTTCCACTCTATTTCTAACCAAATAATCATCCAACATCCTGGATGCCTGTCTGGAGATCCTTTTGATTTAGTGCCCTATTCAAGCACATGTCACGAAAGGAAAATCCAGGTCATGGAGATCTTTGAGGCAAATGTCTCTGGGTTCACCAGACAGAGGTTTCTTCAACACTGAGTGTAAAGTCCTGGCTGATATGATTACACCTCTGAATAGCAAACTCAGGATTGAAAGTGACAATGAAAAGTGGGTCTTATTGAGCTGCACATGATATAAAATGACATAGGAAAGGAGAGAAGATAATGGTGTAGTGGTGATATTTGCTGGACTAGTCATTCAGGGGCTTAAGCTGCTGCTCTGGGGAAACAGGTTCAAATCCCACGAGTGAAACAAAAGGGATTTTAATCAGTTACTAAAGCTGGTCTCAGTATCACATCACAGACAACTATCATCAGTTCCTGTAAAATTCCTTTCGGGGAAGGAATTCTGCCACCCTTACCCAGGCTGACCTAATGTGACTCCAGCCCTACAGCAATGTGGTTGACTCTTTACTAGCCTCTGGGATGACCTTTGCAAACAAGTTCAAGGACAATTAGGGACTTGCGTAATAAATGCTGCATTTGTCAGTGGTACCTGTGTCCTGTGAACAACTGACTGAAAGAAAAAAAACCCCTCTGAAACACTATTTCAAGATGAACCAGGACAAGCGCACATGGGTACAAAGACAAAGCGGTGACTGATGTTGGGATGTACTGAGGGATATGAATGTGGGTGGTGCTTTTCCAAGTAGGAGAGTGAAGGCATTAAAAGAAAAACCCTTACGTTATTCAGGAAATTCATTACATGCCGTGATTGGGGAGAAACGAGGGATTCATAGCAGGAGATCCATGATCTCTGTCAATGACACTTTGTTTTCTGCGGTAACTAAATGTAGCTACTGTGCAACTTGAGTCACTTAAGAGGACGCATTTTGCAACGACTAATTCTGCTGTCTCACTGGTTTTCAGTCACAATTATCTGCGAGGATCCATTACCATTTACATCATCAACCTCCACAGATCAAGAAAGAAAATAAAGCTGGCTGGAACGCTGAGGGACAAGACAGTTCACCAGTATCTGCTCCAACCTTATGGAGTTCAGGGGTTGCAAGCAAAGTAGGTACAAACTTATTATCTTACAGGCTAGGCTTTGAACCATGTTGACGAGAGAATTAAGCCATTCCTAAATTTCTTGGTACTTGTCCAGCACGCAACTTACATTTGGATGAGGGCTTTCAAGGTAATTTAGTGTAGCAAATAGTATGAGGTCCTTTGTCAAGAGTCACAGAGTCGTCGAGCTGTACAGCATGAAAGCTGACCCTACGGCCCAACTCGTCCATGCCAACCAGATATCCTAAATTTAATCTAGTCCCATTTGCCAGCAATTGGTCCATATCCCTCTAAACCCTTCCTATTCATGTATCCATCCAGATGCCTTTTAAATGTTGTAATTGTACCAGCCTCCACCACTTCCTCCGGCAGCTCATTCCATACACGTACTACCCTCTGCGTGAAAAAGTTGCCCTTTAGGTTCCTTTTAAATTTTTCCCTCTTACCTTAAACCTATGCCCTCTAGTTTTGGACCTCCATCCTGGGAAAAAGATCTTGCCTATTCAGTGCTTTAGAAAAAGTAAGGAAAAGGAATTAGAATAAACCAATGATATTGGGCAAAGCGACTGAAAATGTCATTGAAAAGATGGATCTTAAGCATGTTTCTGGGAGAGGTGAAAGACTTTAGGAAGAGATAACCACAGTGTAGGGATATGGTGTTTGTCACCAATAGTAGACAAAGGCCAGGTCCGAATCCGAAGACTGAAAGGTGTGAGAAAGGTTAAGGTTAAATTGGGTTGCCAGGTGAGGAACGACACAAAGCTTTGAAGATAATGATGACAATTTTAAACTCAATGCTTCTGGGCAGCACATAGGAGGATCAATGAGGACCAGGATATTTAGTTAATAGTGACACAGAAGTCAACCGCAATGGATCATTTAAACACAAAAAAACCCTTCATTTTTCTTCCCCCTAATCAGCTTGCTGAGAGATATCATTACGCACTTCTGAAACAGGTGGGGCTTGCCTGGTCTAGGGGCAGGGACAGTAACACTGTGCCACAAGAGCCTTTAATGGGCTCCCTTTTCTTTTTTTATATTCTACCCAGAAGTGTTATCACACACAAATGAGTGACCTTCCCACCACCAAAGTCAATGTGACCTTTTTTCTCTGCATTTTTTAAAACCAACAACTTCCACGAGTAAAATCACCTGCGTAACCATTTGAGTATTTGCAAGCATAGTCCGTTCTGGACAATTCAGACGATCAAAAGTGAGGGAGGGCAGGGAGAGAGAACACTTAGGAGCTAAATCAAAATGGAATTGGAGGGGGAAATATAGCACTGCATCCCCTGTGGTACCCACCTCTCTCTAAAGGCATCAAGAGCACTGAGGGATACAGCTTGCACTCTCTCCAATGACACTCGGCCAAATGTTTTGCCTAAAATTATCATTTCACCTATTTTCCTCATCAGCCTGTTCAGGGATGTTATTACACACCTCTGGGACACATGAACTTGAACCTGGGCCTACCCAGCCCAGGAGTAGGGACACTACCACTGCACCACAGGAAGGCCCCATTGGGTCATTTTGACTCTGTCTGATAAGTTAAAATGGGTGACAGTGAATCCACACAACAGCAATGAATTAAAAAAAAGGAGAGATGTAAATCAGACTGGTGAGTCACTTTCACCTATCAAAATTACACAGAGGCTGATTTATGTTTGCAGTGGGATTGAAGAGTTTATAGCTGCTTTCAGCAGACTGAGAGCATCGACGGGAAGATAAACATTGTTTGGCCATTTCTGGTTCACATTGAGAAAGTGATGGTGAGCTGCTCTTTTGAAATGCTGCATTGTGGTGTGGGTACATTCACAATGTCCTTAGGGAGGGAGTTCCAGGATTTTGACAGTGAAGGAACGGCGATATATTTCCAAGCCAGGATGGTGAGTGGCTTGGAGGGGAACTTGCAGGGCGTGGTGTCCCCATGCATCCGCTGCCCTTGTTCGATATGTTAGAGGTCAAAGGTTTATAATGTGCTGTTGAAGATACCTTGCTGCAATACCTCATGGAGAAGGTACACACTGCTGCCACTTTGCACTGGTACCAGAGGGAGTGAAATGTTTAATATAACCTGAAATAAAAGCAGAAAATCGTGGAGAAACTCAATAGGTCTGGCAGCAGGTGTGGAGACAGAAACAAAACTAACATTCCCTGTCCAATATCACTCTGCTTTCGAACTGAGTGGATGTTTAAGATGATGTATGAAGTGCTGATCAAGTGGGTGCTCTGTGCTGGATGGTGTCAAGCTTCTTGAATGTTCTTGGAGCTGCACTCATTCTGACTTCCATGATATCAGCGTCGTTGCCCATTTAGTAGTTGGTTCTGGCCAGGAACAGATGGCGAGTGAACTAAATGAGTTGGTGGTGGAGGAGTTTAGCAGAAGGGGGCCCTGGTTAATGAGACCACTTTGTCCTGAAAAATCAATTTTTTTGAATTGGAAGCATCTGACTGCTGAGGGAACTATAGATCCCGAATCCATTGAATGGACAAAGATAGGCCAAATGGCTTTTGTGATCACAGGTGTTTGTTTCCAATTCAAATATCTCAGGCAGTGTGTTTAACTGCAGAGACGTGTTGCCCTCATTGAGGGAGTCAGGAATCGGTATATTTGATTGAACGTCTGACTGGCAAGGTACAGGGCAGGGTAAGAGTGGGGATGGATCAGTCTGAGGAGGCTAATGTGTCAATACAGAGGTTCCCTTGAGGGTAAAACTTAATAGGTTTTAGAAATTGGCACATGCCACATAACGTGAGAGAGAAAGACTTTGTTTTTAAGTAAAAACACAGATCTTTGGTGAGCTGGATGTACAAAATATATAAACTGGGCAGCTTCTTTAATCCAATGGAACGGGAACAGCTGCCTTGGCAATTCTACAATTCTACTCTATGAAGTCCTCCTGGAGGCCAGGCCAGAAACTGCACCATTAAAAGGCGTTTTGAACCTGTAATGTTCGTGGGAAGATATAATTTCGGATGGTCGACTGTTTCCAGGAAAACAGAGATGTGGCCTCTTATTCTTGAAGGGAGGGAGTGGGCTATGGGTGAGGGGGTTGGTGCATTTGGGATTTAACAAATTTAATTGTTTCCTCTTGGCTTGGGCCAGACAAAAATCTATTCTTCACTTCCCTGCCAGGAAACGTTCACAACAACAAACGTTGAGCAGAAGCGCAGCATCACAAGCGCAGGCCAGACCGAAGGCTCTGGTAAAGCCTTGTTTAGAGCTGCTCCAGACAACATTTCCTCAGCACATTGCCTGAATCCGGGAATTGTGTCCTAGCAGAGGGAATACACAAGGTCCTTCTCCAACAGCTTCCATCTCCTTTCCACAAGAGTTAAGTCAGTAAACGTTCGCCCACCTTTAAAATATCCTCATCTTCTATAAGATCATGTTTCACAAATGCAGGGGCTGCCAAACCGAAAGGACAACTCGTTTTGTTACAAATCTTTGTATTGCATTTCAAGTGTAGATTTAGGTAGCAGAGGAGGTCCTGCAATGACATGATCAATACAACGATGTGGAGGCGCCAGTTTTAGTCTGGGGTGGTCAAAGTCAGAAGTCACATGACACAAGGTTATAGTCCAATAGGTCTATTCGAAATCACAAGCTTTTGGAGCGCTGCTCCTTCATCAAGTGAAGTCACTTTAACTGATGAAGGAGCAGCACTTCAAAAGCTTGTGATTTCGAATAAACGTGTTGAGCTATAACCTGGTGTTGTGTGACTTCTGTCTATGATTAGTCTCAATCCACTCACAGACAGTGAAGTGTAGTCACTGTTGCAATGTGTGAATTGCAGCAGCGAAATTGCACATAAGCAGCTCCCATAAATAACAATGAACAGGTCAGGATGATATTGATTGAAGACTACATGTTGGCCAAAGCTCAATGTCTATATACTTCGTTTCCAGTTTGAGCTTCATGCCATGAAAGAGATGCAACCGCAAGAATCCAAAGCTGAGGACAAATCTACACAGTTTAGGCGAAATAATTGAGAGAAGAGATTTACATCAGAAAGTGTTTTTTTGTTGCACTTTAATGCCAGACTGTGAGGCAGCTGCAATAAGGGCGGCTGGATCTGGTCGGTAAGTTTGGAGAGTAAGTTAGAGCCTCAGGGGTCTCTGTGCAGTTCGCTGCCAAAGATCCAACAGGACCACGCTGTTCAGAACCTGACAGATTGATTAAAAGTATGTTTTCCACGCTTACCAGATAATTTCCTTCCACAAATCCGAAACCCTTTGAAGAGACGAGCCTGAGCTTCAGAGCAGACTCCGGGTGCGGGACGAGCCTGAGTTTCAGAGCAGACTCCGGGTGCGGGACGAGCCTGAGTTTCAGAGCAGACTCCGGGTGCGGGACGAGCCTGAGTTTCAGAGCAGACTCCGGGTGCGGTCTTCCAATAGGAGATGCACAGTTTAATCTAATCTGCTAACTTTGAAACATTTTCCCATTTGGCTTTCCCACCACACTTCCTCTCCCAGCAATATGGGCAGGAGACCTATTGAAGCCAAAACATTAAATACTTTCAAGAAGGAGTTAGATATAGTTCTTGGGGCTAAAGGGATCAAAGGGTATGGGGAGGAAACGGGAACAGGGGATTGAGTTGGATGATCAGCCATAAGCAGGCTCGAGGGGCTGAATGGCCTACTCCTGCTCCTATTTTCTATGTTTCTTTGTTTCCCTTGTCTGCTGTTAGATGCAACAAAATCTCACCAGGTTCTCAACTACTGAACCTTATTGACAGACAGAGAGAGGGAGGGAGCTAGACTGTGGGATAGACAGGATGCGGGAACCATGTAAAGGATCAGAGTCTGTAGCAGCGTTTCTGAGTCTGTGTGTGTCTGTGTGAGACACGAGACAGACATGTCGACGCAAAGGGCTGAATTTCCCCAGCCCCCCCCCCCCCCCCACAGGCTGGAAGGGGTCGGTGGTTGGTAAAATGGTGACGGATGAGGATACGGGGAGAGTGTCCATTCCTATTCTGTACGAATTTAATGGTTGTGAGGATGTC